AGAAAGCTCTGGGTACATCTATATGTACACTTTATTGAGGCGTATGCTAATTTGCTCTGTGGTAGAGAGCAAAGTAGACTAATTTACTCTGTCATAGGACAGTCCCATCAGACACAAGTACTATCCTATGGCAGAGTAAATTAGTGTGATAAAATGCATGCATAGATGGTAATAAGGGTGCAAATAGCACCCAGTAAGTTAAGTCAGCAAAGGGGCCAGACTGCTGACTGCTGTTGAGCCACATGGCTTGGAAACTAGCTGCAGGAGCCTTATGGTATGGGCAGCTCCTCTGCCACCCAACGGAGCCACCTAACCCCCAATGCCTCCTGCCAGCTTAGGGCTGGCACCCAGGCAGCTAGTGGCCAGAGCCTGGAGCTCCCCACGAATGCTGCAGTGGAACAGAGTACAGGAGAAACATCCCTAAACTGCCCCTCTCTGGCTTAATTTTCTGCTGAACTAGGCACATGTGTAGATGCTATGCCTGGGAGTAGTTTAATGCAGAGCAATTTACTCCACAATTCATTCATGCACATTAACTGCACGCATAGGTGCACACTGTGTCATTTAGTTGGTGCTCTCTGAAGGCTAGAAAATGGCATTTACAGGTTTCCTTTTGGAAACTGGTTTATAGGTAAAGTAGATAGGCATTAGAATAATGGTCCACGGCAACATCAATATTTAATTGATTTCTAAAAGCCTGGTAGTCACAGTTTCACAGCCTTCAAACGAGATAGGGATAAATACACAGGCTGGGATATTGTAAGCATGTATGACACTGTTCCATAACATGAGATAAGGTGGCACCAGGTCACAGTGACTAATGGTAGAGCCTTTGGACTTTATGGTTTTGGGGTAAAAGACCAAATTAGAAAGACACTGGGAAAGACCAAATGTGCATGTGATGGGTGTGAGGATGAGGGAAAAACCCCAAATGCTCCCACAGCAGCAAGGGACTGACCAGACATGCTGCACCAAGTAACAATGGCAGAGAAGAGGACCCTGAGGAGAACACATTTTATGAGCAGCTGCTCGGTCTGAATTGGATCACCCCATATCTGCTCAGGTTTTTTTGGTCTGAGCCAGAGCCCAAGCTTGAACCCATGCTGGGAAAGAAAACAAAATAGGGTATGAGAAGGAGGAGCTGAAAAAGAAACAGCTCTGGGAGAAACAGCTCAGGAGGGAGCAGAACCAGCTGTCAGCCGGCAGCGAGGCTTGGGGGAGCTTCAATAAGCTGGAGGCACTGGTAGTGAGCCTGCACTGAGGGAAGGCCGTGGAATCTAGCCAGAAACTCTGCCCAGGGGACAAGCCAACTGCAAGACAGGCAGATGCGCCAAAATTAAGGTCTGGTGTTTTTTGTTTGTTTAGACAGGAGGAGGAAGAGACTGGAAAGACACTGGAGAAACAGAGCCCACACACAGGCATACTTAAGACCCAGATAGGTCAGGACAGAGCCAAGCTGAAGTGCCCAAGGATAGGGCCCTCCCATCCATGGGAGTTTTTCTTTTAAATTGAAGGAATACCACCATGGTTGAAAAGGAAGCAACTCTAGAAAAATAACAGACTATTGAACTACAGCAAGAAGGCTCTGCGTATAAGCTACCATGTCTCCCACCCCAACAGAAAGGAACTTGCTTTATTTTTTTTCATTTGCTTCACAAGGTCCCAACAGAAGAGCTGTTAAGGCCCAGAGGACCATTATATCAGGAAGATGGGCCAGATACAACCACAAGCCCATATAACAAACCAGAGAACGAGTCTGCCCATAAAGATCTTAGCGTGTGACAGACATGTTTACATCAAGGTGGCACATGGCCAGGGTCTGGGGAGGTTGGAGCCCCAGATGACAGGATAAGCCCAGCAAATCAGAGTCAAGCTACAAGGGTAATTAGACTCCTCCTAATTAAAGTATCTTATAAGATCAAGGTATTGCAGGCAAGAATTGGGTAATCCCTTGGTGACGCTAAACTCTTACAAACTAAAATGTCCCTGGTACAGTCAGGCTGGGCACAGGGCTGCTGAGACCCTATCATGTGTTGCACTGACAATGGGCTTGTGAAATAAAGGAATATATGGACAGGACAGAATGTGGACAGTATGACAACCACAGAAAGACCAATCAGCAATGCCCACAGATGAAGAGTCATCAGGAAGAGAAAAGCATACAAAAGAAGAGATTTCAGAATGGGTCCCTGAGAGGGTAACCTGAGGCACCATGGAAAGAGGGCATACCACCAGCCCGTCTCATCCACTTCACTGTACGCGAGGTGGGGCAGGGCGGTGGAGGTGGGGCTCAGCCTCTGACCTCCAGGCTGATGATATCTGACATTCAAGAGAGACCCTCAGAGTGAAGCTCATTTCTTGACTCTACAGCCCTAGGACCGATAGATATAGAACTGCTTGTATTATTCTTACTTGCTATCACTATGTATCAGTAAAATTTACTTATTATCAAATGGAAAGATCATGGTCCGTCTGAGGATTTGGGTCCACCAGGAACAAGGTACTTGCATCATAAATCCAGTGCCAAGATTCTCAAGATACTGTGCTTCAATCCATGTTTTAACTTCCTAATCTAGCACTTTACCTTTCTTTCACCTCTTTTCTGCTTCATATGCATCTTTTCATTCATTTACTTAACAGATCATTTCAAATGTGTCATTTAGCCACTACAGAGTCTAGGATAAAAATAAGGATGCTCAATCTCAGATGTCATTAGCTGTGCTAGTTTATAAGCCTGTAATTCATTGCTACAAGGCTTAGCACATACATTATTCTTTAAGTAAAAGCCAGTGTCTATGAGTGGCTTGATGCATGCTCTGGGGTGGGGGCGGGGGAGACATTTTAACTGGAGTGACCCTCAGGATCCACTCTAAAATGACAACAGCATCTCGGGTATTCAGCATCCCACTCTTCAAACTGGCGATGGGGAGCTATAACTAAAGCTCCTTCGATGAGCTTTTGTTCAAGCACCCCTGCTGTCATTCCGAAAAAGGGAATACTAAATGCACATGATGCCAAGGCTGCTGGAGCCTTCTTATTAGAACACTCCAGCAGACTCGGCTCTGACGAGTGTTCTAATTAGAACATACTGGAGCAGGCATCAGGCACATATATACATGCCTTATATGAGTAATACTGCACTGAAATACAATCTTGATATTCCCTAGTAAACACTATGGTTCCATTTGTGGTATGTTTGACTTTAGGAAAACATTCAGGCATCAATTCTGTGAAGCCCAGTTAAGACACTAAACCACCTGCTTCATTCAAATTTCAAAGTGCTTTTAAGTTCTTTCTCTTCATATATTAATAATTTCCAGGAAAATGTGTGACTAAATTGGTGGTTCTCAACCTTTTTAAATTAAAGGCAACCTTTGCTAGGCTCAATGCCCCCTTTCATAACTTTTATAAATTGAGCGGCACCCCATATCAAAAACTAATATATTTATTATAGTGTTTACTCCCGTGCAGAAGGGCCAGGCAATGTGAGTGGGGGAGCAGCCACACTAAGGGAGCCTGAGCCTGCCTTTATCTGCTTATCTCCTCATATTTCCTGAGTCACCCTTCAAAAGGATCTCATGGGACTGCAGAGTCACTGGACTAAATATACACAATTACAGTATTTAAAAATTACAGTCTAAAACAAGTACAGAGCAGTTTATGTATGCACAAAGGCAAAAATATACATGAACAATACTACCAAATTTGCACAGAACTTATGACCTCTCAAAATGAAGGAAAAGAAACATACATGAACATTACAAATAATGAACAAGTCAATAGACCATGATTTCACAGTGTTACTTGAATTATTCATGGACAGTGCGTAGTCTGCTGATCAAAGTAGGAAGAGACAAGTTTTCAGCCTAACTTCTATTGTTTAGCACTATAGCATGTCCAGGCCCAGAACAGGAGTGGCCGCATTTTACCAACCTGCCTAGTGACCACCTGGATCCTCCTCTTCCTTTGCTGACTGACCTCTCAGGCAGTCCACCCAGCCATCTCACCTGCCATGTCTTCATGTTATAGATGGATTGGGAGGTTGCCCCCAGAGGTAACTGGGGTTTGCTTCAGGTCTAAGATCCTTGTCTGTCCTGAAATCTCCTGACTCTGGACAACTTTACTTTGGCTGGAACCCTCCATCTGAGGTCCACTGTCTCAGGATCATAGGCTCCCTGGCCCCAACTCTAGACTCGCCCTTCATGGGCTCTGGGCCCCTCGGTTCCTGTGTCGGCCTTTGCGTGCCTCTGTCTCACCCTTCGTGGGCTCTGGGCTAGTGCCCTCAGTCTTTTCTGCTGCATGCTACAGCCCTTCCATTGGAAGCAGTACTCCCCCCAGGCACTGCTTGTAGCCCCCAAGCTTCTTGGGGCTCACAGTTGGCCCTTGGCTCCCTTGGCCTTAGCCTGTTAGTGCCACCTACCCCCTTTTTGAAGGGTTTAGTATCCAGAGTGTCCACTAGCACCATTCTTGGTGGCTTCATCCTCCCCTACACACACAACTTGGTCCTCCAGTTTAAACTTCAATACAACAAAAAAGATGAGCATCACTCCCATACATGAGGCTTCCCCCCTAACTCTTGGTCAATGTCATACTGTGATAACAAGCTGAGGCATAAGGCCAAAATATTTAGCTCCAAAGCCCGCAGGGGTTATGCAGGGGCTTCTTTGCAGCTACCTGCAATCTGAAGTCCTTCCTCCTTGGTAGGTGAGACCCACTTTTCTGAGACCTCAGCCACAGTCCTGGCTGACCTCTCTGGGTCATATGACCCACCACTGCCTGTCAGTCACTAGTTGCATTTTGCTGGCTACACATGGGGTAGGCAGACATTTTATTAAAGGGCTGTCCAGCCCTACTAGACCCTCCAGGAGGCTTGAGCCAGCCAGCTGCTCCCTCTCTCCTTCAGTAATGGGGGAGGGGACCCATTATAAGTACCCAAAGCACAAGATATACATGTATCCCAGCATGCATCTTCCTACTGATAATAACAAAGAACAAATTTACTTACATTTTTTGAGGAAAGCCAACAGGAAAAGATGAACCAGGAGCCTACTGTGTTCTCTCCAATATTCTCCGATTTATCTGTTGTATATAGAACGGCTTCTGATCAACATTTTTTGATTGGTAAATTTGACTTTTCTTTGGTGCCCAACAGTTGAAAAGCAGTATGAAGAGGCTCTCCAGCAGTCCTGGGATAATAAAAAATTAGCCAATATTAATACTCTTGTGAATTTGCAGGTATTAAGAGAACTCTCCTTATGTTTTAATTATACCACAGACTTAAAATTAGAAACATGCTGTAAGTAAATACACAAATCACTACTTGTTAGTATACTGATGCTTAAAAATGTTTGCTTCTATTTTGGTTTAGCTAGGATGGGCAACACTGACTTAAGAATTTACTAAAATATTTTATGTGGGTTAAGTGATTTTGCTTTTTAAATGTCATATACTTGATATTTAATAATGCCATGGAATTTCATCAGATACAAAATGTGCTGCTGGATCACTTAGCTCTTGCCCTTGGCACAACCCCTCTACTGCTATAACTCTATACTTGTCTAACATGTGGCATTATGTACTTTTAATAAATTAAGAGAGTAATTGTTGAATGTTAGAAAGTCCATAGATTGTACATATGAATGGTTTTATCTGTAGCAAATCAGCCTGTCCAGGTATTAGAAAACTGAAAACACACCCACTGAAAGGAGTTTGACAATACCTGAAGAGTTTCACATTTACCTTAGAATGAGTCAGAATGAATACATTAATCACACTTTCAAATGCCTCCCTTTCAGTGCTCAAGCAGCTTATTTCTGTCTTTGCCAATTCCTCACAGTCAAGGATGACTGCTTTCCATGATTGTTTTATCTGTGTGTCCAAAGATGGCTGATGTGGCCTATCCTGGTTCAACAGACTCTACTGCACCTTGGATATGTGTTTGTGTGGGGTGGGTCATGCTAGATTCTTGATCTGGTTCATGGCATGCTGTTTCTGCCACTCCTGCTTTTCCATCTCTTGTTGCTATTGTGATGTTTCATAGTACTGAGATCCCTGAAGCAGACTCTTCTTCCATTTTGAGCAGTCCTGAGCGAGTCTCCCCTGAGCTGACATTGATGTTGCAGCTTAAGTTGGCCCAGAGGACATCCCTGAAGCATTTTTTCTGCCCTACTCTTGAGTGTATGCCTTGGCTGAGCTGGGAGAATAAAACTTGCTTCGGGAGTCTGGAGTCAGACCTCCGGATGATGCGGCTGGCCCAACAAAATTGATGTTGGACGATCATAGTCCCAATAGTCATGGTGTTTGCTTGCAGGAGGAAGCTAACATTGGCACACCTGCCTTCCCACCAGATTTGGAGGATCTTCCACAGGCAGTATTGATGGTACTTCTCCAGCAACTTTAGATGTCTCCTGTATGTTGTCCATGTCTCAGCTCCATAAAGCAAGGAGGGGATCACAACTGTTTGATAAACCATGAAGTTGGTTTTGGATGTGATGTCATGACCTTCAAACACCCATTTCTTCAAGCATCCAAAGGTGGCACTTGCACATTTGAGACAATGTTGGATTTCTTCATCAATGCCAGCTTTCTGCAAGATACAAGAAATACTCAACATTCTCCAGAATCTCACTGTGGATCTGGATTACCTGAGTTCAGTAGGAGCTTGTTGTTGCAAGACCATATTCTTCTAGATGGTAAGCATCAGTCCCATTTTCTTGTATGCTTTACCAAAGATGTCAATGATTGCCTTAAGATCTGCTTCCAAGCAAACATACACTACAGCATCACCAGCATACTGGAGCACAATGACTGAAGTCAGGGTGGTCTTGGTTTGGGCTTGGAGTCAGTTGAGGTTAACCAGCTTACCATCTATTTGGTAGTTTAGCTCCACTCCAGCTGGAAGCTTGTTGGTGGTCAGATATAGCATCGTGGCAAGGAATATTGAGAAGAGTGTTGGAACAATGACGCAGCCTTGCTTAATTCCCATTTTAACCTCAAAGAGACCTGTAATTGATTCATTACTGAGAACCACCTCTTGCATATCATCATGGAGCAAGCAGAGAATAGTGACAAATTTTGTTGGGCATCCATACTTCAGAATGATCCTCAACAACACTTCCCGGCTGACACAGTCAAACACTTTCATGAGGACAAAAAAGGCTGTGCAAGAGAGGCTTATGGTGTTCCCAGCACTTTTCCTGCAGCTCATGAGCTGTGAAAATCATGTCAGTTGTGCTCTTCATGCCCAAAACCCACACACAGATTCCAGAAAGAGATCATCAGCAAGTGGAAAATGGTTCAGGAGGGTTCTAGCAATGATCATTCCTGTGGTGGACAGTGAGGTCATCCCTCAATAGTTTCCACAGTTGGACTTGTCTCCTTTCTTGAAGACTGTAACAATCATAGCGTTCCTAAGATTGTCTGGGATTTCCTCATCATTCTAGATCCTTAAGATGAGGGCATAAAGCTTTGATGTGAGCTCCTCTTCTCCCTGTTTGAAGATTTCAGTAGAGATCAGATGCCCTGTTGTTCTTCATCTGCTTGATGGCTTTCCTTACCTTGTCAAGGGTTGGAGGGATTCTGAGATCATCTCTGACTGGGTGTTCCAGGATGGAGTTGAGAACACTTGTATCAACAATGATGTCTAGAAAATGGTATTTAGAGGTTTGCTTTTGGAAACTGTCTTATAGGTAAAGTAGAAATGCATTAGAACAATGGAGGCTGCTGCTGCTGGATGGGACTATTTGATGTCCATACTTATCGCAGTTCACACCGCAGTCTCTGGGGGCCACCATCAGTGTCGGCGGCTGCGTGTGCTGACATCAACTGACAGCAAAAGGTTGGGAGTTCTTCTCGGCATCCAGCACTCATCAGTCTTCACAGTTAAAAGGTTAAAACGTTAAAACTGTGTGCTGAGGCCACCACTGGGTTGGGCAACCAGCGCCTTAAAAACACGGACAAATTACAGGGGACAACAAAAGAGAAAACATGGCATGCACGTTCAAGGTCAAAGGCCTAAAACAAGTGCTCCCCAGGGGGACACCGAGCAGAGCACCCCAGGCAGTGCCCACCGCCTCACAAACTTAGAGAGCTCAGCAGCGGCTACTGCCCAGCAAGGCTCCGCCCAGAGACGCGCTCAAAGGACACCAAGGAAGAACACCCTGAGGTCACCGGGGACCTTCCCAGCCAGAGACTCCTTTCTGGATAGCCAGATAACCAGCTTGGCCAGAGCTAGAAGGAGGTTGACCAGGAGGTCCTGGGCCTTGGTGGGGCGGCGGATAGGGCTGCTGCTGGCTGGGACCGGCACTGAAGCCAAGTAAGCCCAGCTTTGAAACTCAAAACATTCAAAATGTTTCAAGTGCCCTTGTTTCATTTTGTAACTGTTTTGAAGGCTTTTGTTTTGTTTCACTTTTGCTGTTTTGAGCAAAAAACGCATTGAAACAGCTTTGAAATGAAGAAGGCTAATGGTATACTGGGCGGCATTAGTAGGAGTGTTGCCACCAGATCAAGGGAAGGAATTATTCCCCTCTATTCAGCACATCTGCAGCACTGTGTCCAGGTTTGGGCTCCTCACTGTTTTAGTCTACTATTTTAAGAAGTTCATAATCTACTATCCAATCCCTCCAATGGAACCATTTGTCAAAGGAAACAGGGGAGTAAAGAGGGATCCAGAGTGCTACAGATTTTCTGCCAGTATTTGCATTTTTGTGTGGTTTTTGGATTGGGGCAGGAGGGAGATGGAAAGATGGGCAACTAATGTCTTCTTGTGCAAGGCACTGTATAATACATAACCAAAACATGAATTCTGTTTGGAGGAATTTACACAGAATCATAGAAACGTAGGGCTGGAAGGGATCTCTAGAAGTCATCTAATCCAGCCCCTCCTTCAGAGGCAGGATCATCCGAATGTTTTGTATAAATCCATTGTCTAATCTCTTTGTAAAACTTCATAGTCAACCCTGACAAAACCAAGAGGCATAAGACATAACAGCCTAGCCTGCTACAGATAAAGCAGAGGGACAACAGCAGGCACTGTCCTACCTCTATGAGAGTAATTTAAAAAAGTCTGAAGAGATCCAAAGAAGAGAGCCACACTTCCCATTACAGGAAAAACTCCCAGAGTCTCTAAGAATATGACCATGAGGTAAAATTCCTTCCTGACTCCAAATACAGAAATTGGTTTGACTATGAGCAGGAGTAAAGACCCTCTAGCTAGGAATCTCTGGGTTTAAAATCTAGCAGGATCATTGGCACACCCCAGCAAAAACCCCAGCCATGGCTGCAGCCAACCCAAACACAGGAAGGGGAAAAGAAATCCTTCTTGGTCCCATGGGGCAACCAGTAAAGCTGAGAAACATGGAAAATACCACAGTATAGTAATAAAATAGTAAAGCATAGGCACAGCTATATTTAAAGCATCCCTGACCAAGGCTTGTCCAACCTCTTCTTGACTTTGAGGGATCTGACTCCAATGATGGAGATTCCACAACTTCCCTAGGAAGTCTATTCCACTGCCTTACTGTTCCAACAGTGAAAAAGTTTTTCCTAGTGTCCAGTCCAAACCTGCTTTGCTGCAACTTCAAGCCATAGGTCCACATCCTGCTCTCTTCAGTAAGAGAGAAAATGTGTCCTTCCCTCCTTTCTATGGCTGCCCTTCAGATATTTTAAGTCTGCTATCATGTTCCCTCTTAAATGCCCCTTCTGCAAGTGGAGTATGCTGATTTCCTTCAACCTCACCTGGTACGGCTTGCCTTCCAAGCCATTAATCATTTTGTCACCCACCTCTGGACCCCCTCTAACTTCTCCATGTTGTTTTTTTTAAATCTAGAGAACAAAACTACTATATGAGACCTAACCAGTGCCAAATTGAGAAGTACTATCACCTGTCTTGCACCTAATGTTTATGTTGATGCAGCCCAAGCCTGCATTTGCCTTTTGTGCAGCTGTATAACACTTCAGACTCATGCTGAGTCAGTGATCTTTCAGTACTCCCAGATCCTTTGCAATAGTGTTGGTATCCAGCAGATGTCACCCATGTTATATTTGTTTTGGATTATTCTTCCCAAGATGCAACACCTTGCATTTGTTTCCATTGAATTTCATTCTATTTGCTTCAGCTCAACTTTCCAATCTGTCAATATCCTTCTAAACTGGGCTTCTGTCCTCCAATACGTTCCTGAGCTTTCCC